GGGGGGGGGGGGGGGGGGGGGGGTAGGCCTCCCCAGGGCCCCCCTAGCTACGCTCATGGTTCTCATCGATAAATTTGAGAAAATTTAGTTTCTCTTACAAAATTGAAATTAGCATAGTGGAGATTCTGAACTCCGCGATCCAGAAGTGTCATTCTCTATACTGCCGTGCTAAGGAAAAACGCCGTATGAACATTCGAGAGTTGCCAAATTCCTTCGATAAATTGTTTATTTTTGAGGAAAGTTAGGAATATTTTTCCAAGAAATTATCAAGAACTTTAGGTAAAAGTGCGAACAGAATTGCCTGAAAAATTGGAGGAAAAATATTTACAAATTTTCATGAAAATTCCTGATTTACCAACGGAAATTTGGCAACGCCTGAAGGCTCATGCGGCGTTTTCCAAGAAGTTATCAAGAACTTTAGGTAAAATTGCGAACCGAATTGCCTGGGAAATTGGAGGAAAAATATTCACAAATTTTCATGAAAATTCTTGATTTACCAACGGAAATTTGGCAACGCTTGAAGGCTCATACGGAGTTTTTCCTTAGCACGGCAGTATATGCAACGCCTCAATATACTCGACTCCTCGATTGTTCTGGCAACAATGTCAGTAAGTATCCGTAAGAACTAAGTCTAAAGTTGTTTCCGAACTTAATCAATGAGTTTTGGGACCCACGGCGGAGAGAATTAGTCATCCCTCCCTCCTTTTCTTCTCTGGCAAGTTACAAGATCCCAGATTGGATCGAAGAGTAGAATGCTCTCCGCTGGCAATAGCTTCAAGTCGGGATGAGTTCGCGAAACTCGGTCAAAATGTAAGGATTTACTAATTATCCGTACCAAACGAACGCACGCTGCCGTGCTTGCCAAGTTTGGGGATCTTGAACGGGTTTTTAACATAACGTAACCATAAGCAGTAAATTTTACGCAAAAATAATACTGGATAAATTGTATCTAAATGCCTTTAATTTATGAGAGCCCATTCTAATTCTTAAGTCTCAAGTATATTCTATAATCTTCATGGAATGCGCCTACCACCAAGCATGGGCGGAAGTGGGGGGGTGAGCCCCCCCCCCCTCCTCACAATTCTTCTCTACTAAATTAACCTCCCGGCAAAGCGGGAATATCGCCAGATTTGAAGGCGTTCAAAGCGTTTGGTTGGGTCACGCAACTATACTAACCTCCCGGAGAAGCGAGAAGTATCGCCAGATTTGAAGGCGTTCTAAGCATTTGGTTGGGTCACGCAACTAAACTAACCTTCCAGCAAAGCGGGAAGTATCGCCAGATTTGAAGGCGTTTGGTCGGGGATTACCAACCCCCACAATTCTCCTCTGCCCTCTCCAAAATATGTCAAGGATCTAATCTAGTGATTAGTTTTGAGATTAATGTCTTAGAAAATGCATTAAATGTGAGATCCATCCTGATGTGTAATGGATCAAAAATGTCGGAAGATAAAAGTTTCCCAGTGCAAAAAAAAAAAAAAACAAACAATGACAAACAAAAAAAAAGTCTCCGAGACAATTATGGTGACTGTATTTTAAGGCGTTGAATTCTAAATTGACCTCGATATTTTTCCATCATTCTCCAATTATAAAAAAAATTGGCATTTCTCGGCATTTCCGGTGTTTTCCGGACGGGAGTGTGTGGGCTACATCAATTCTCTTGGCATTTAAGCTGAAAACCACAAATATGGCCTCAGAAAATCAGAAAAACCCACTGTTGGTATGACATTTTTGAAAAAACGAGTCAGCGAAATTTCTGTTATCTGTAATATTTTGTTCCATTTAAACTGTAGTTGAGTATGGCTTAAAATTGTTATCGAAACGTCCCAAAATTGTTGAGGGGTTTCGAGTCCACCCAGGCCCCTCTTAGCCTCAATTGTATATCCTTCTGCCCCCCTCCCCACAGAAAATTCCTAATTCCCCACGCAATACTACGGGAAATTGAATCGGTTTGTGGTAGTGGTTTGTAAGTCCACAAAATTTTGTTTAGGAGAGGCAAGAAACTAATTTGCAGGTCAAGCAGGATAACTAAAAATGTTTGCAGTGTTCAAGAGATTGATCGATATCCGATAATTGTTTTAAAATTAAGCTGAGGATAGAATTGAATCACTGTTAACACTCGACGGTGCTAAACCGCGGCGCCCAAAAAAGAAAGCCATTTTTGAATAAACTGGCATCCCCCTTTCGATCCTGAAACTTTATGCTCCAAAACTTTTTACTCACGGAGTCTCTAGAACTTGCATATTCCATCACTCTGAAGAATTCCGGCATTTTGTTTACCGTTCCCGCATCATTAAAGACAGCAGCCATCAAAGCTATGAAAGAGAGGTTTTGATGGATTTCACTCCTTTCGATTGAATTCTATATCTTCTTCTGAATCAAGTAATTATGCCTGACAACGCTTTTTGCGATTTTCCTTAATATGTATTAAAGGCGGATAAAAATTTGAGAGACTGACAGAAACTGCAGTTTCTTCATTTTATTTTCTTTCTGTTTCTTCTTTTTGCGACCTAAGATATTCTAGTTTCGCCTAAAATCGGGGATAGCTGATAAAATGTGACTTTTTTCTTTTAATGCTCTCCAGTGGGATAGTTGCGCCAATAACATAATCATTTTTTGATGATTTCAAATTATAGATCGGTAGAATCCATTTTTCCAAACACCAAGTTTTCGTGCCCAATACTAGAGGATATATCGCCCTATGAAAAACTTCGTAACGTCATTCACCCTGCTCATATATAGTATTTCTCATATTGAATCGTGAACAAAAACCAGGAGGAAGAAACTAGGATATGTATCACCGTGATCATATTCCGTGTTTTTCAAAGGGCGGTAGGTATCTCCGCTAAAATTGGACATGAAAACTTGGCATTTATCCCTTTAAAACTGTCCGTAAATACAACAAGGCGTTTGGGCACTTTTTATTGTTTTTCGCTAATCTAAAGGTAATCTTATCAAAACGCTATTCTGTGACTGGCACAAACTGCTCCGGTTTCTAACGAAGTACGTTTCATTTTGATAAAGGCCTCCGCGTGAAGTGTCGAACAAAAGATCAAGCTGTGGTAAGTATGGTTTTAATCCGCCGCTTCTACTGCGTCGAAAATGTGCGGCCTTTAATTCATTTGCCTCAGAAGACGAACATCAGTACAATTGGAGGCGCAGTAGCGAGTAAATCCGGAATAATGATGCCTTTTCAGCGACTTTTTCCCACGAACAAAAGACGAAAGCTCAGGCAATGCGAATTGAGAGAGCGAAAAAGAGGAGAATGGGTTGACTCACTGCTGTTGCCTCCGGAATAGTAATTTCCGCCGGCTTTCCCGGCGACTCGGCCGCCCATTTTATGGTCTTCGAAAGCGTGGGATTGTTTTTCAACGCTGCTTTCTCCTCAGCCGAGAGCGCTGTAACAAATCAATAACGCAACACGTTATGAGAACATTCGTAAAAAATCAGTAGCAACAATTGGACACCTGCCAAGGCTACTATTCGAAATTTCCAAAAGATGCACAGAGGGCATCGAAGAATCTAAGAAAATGCAGCGATCCTATTGGTGGAACCGGGTAGTTGCGATAGTCAAATAAAGAGGTAAGTAATGGTCCAACTAACGACATACAAGAATCGCAATTCGTCGCTTCTCTCACGAAAGAACGTTACTACATTTCAATGTTGTCAAATTTCCCCTCTGAAAATCGCATTTTTACCAGGAGAATCTAGGGAGCTTTTGACTGAAAATCACACCGAATTCTCCTCTGGTCTCATGCAAAATTCAGACACATGTTCACGAAAACTGCGAGGGTACGTTATTTTAAATAATTGAATTGCTTGAGTCAATTTCGCAGCTTTGGACTTGAGTTACATTCCTTCGTCCAGGAAACGACGAATAGTCCGTCCATCATTTTCCTCGTTAGCCTATTACAGCCACCCGTTTCAACCAGTAGGGTTGCTCTATTTTCACTTTGTCCATCGTAAAGTTTTCGCAAAATCCCTCATAAAAAGCAAAAAATACTCTTTATTTACACTCCGGATTTACTGCTTGATCACACGTATTGTTTTTTTTTTTTTTTTTTTTTTTTTTTTTTTTTTTTTTTTTTTTAATGAAATTGAATATATTTCTACAGAATATTAGAGAGTTTAACGAGCCGATTTTTAGCGGAAACGAGAAAAAATAAAATAATTTAATGAAATCAAGGTAATTTCCAGATGGGTTATTAACTTTATAAGGACCTATAAAATGGCGCGGCGCAGCACGGACTCCAGAGCGAAATGTGTCGAGCTACTATGAGCGTAAGCCAGAGCGCCTTCAACTGCTCAAATATGCAATACGGACAGTTTCAGAGTTTGAATAGTTGTATCCATCAAAATATCTGCATAGCATCAGGTTGCGTTCATCATTCGGTTGATTGACTGACATAATACAGTACGAATAGTATTCTGACATCGTCAGTCATTTGTACTGGTGAAAAATCTGAATGAATCCTCACCTTAACGTACGAAATTCTGCTTACATAAATACGCGAGTTTCAAAATGTTTCATTTTAATATCCACCTAAGCGGATCTTGAGTGGGTAACTATGATTTTAGTGTAGAAATAGAAAGAAAATTCGGTTGATTTTTAGTCCCACAACCACACATTCATCACCCGAGCGTTATCCCTTAAAAAGAAGGAATGAACCAAGAGGAAAGGTTATAGTATCAATCCACAGCAGTAGATTAAAATAAAGTGGAAGACATTACGGCGTGAGTTCTGCTGCACGAGACGTGATTGCGCGATTGAATGAGTTGAAGAACCCAGAGCATTCTAACGAGGTTTCTTTCTCCACCTTCACTCATTCTCTCCCTCCCCCTTTCCCTCGTACATCTTCTCTTCAATCCATTCAAAATCATGTACCTTTCTAGATATATTCTTCAATGTTATTTGTGGGCCTTGGAGGACAAGGCGCATAAGTGCAGTTTTTGCCATTTTGAGAAATACGTGTTAGAAGTTTCGAAAGTAAATGGACCGTTATGGTGGAAATAAAGTTCAAACTGACTTATTGATGCTTAAATATTCGAATTTGGGAGCGAATTTTTCACAGAATACGCATTAAGACTAGTTTTACTTGAGATCATTAATATTTCAATTTTTTCAAAAACTGCACTTATGTGCCTTGTCCTTCAAGCCTTGTCCTGCCTTGTCCTCTTTACTTCTAATTTTTCTTTCCGTTGTCATTTTTAAAATGATTACGCATGCAGCGCAGCAAAAGACACAAGGAAATGAAAATATGAAGGAGGAAAGTAAGATCAGGGAATACGAATACTGTTGTAGGAATTGTAAACATTCATTAAAAAAATACGATATCTCGGATACAGTAGCTATGTTTTTATAAGTGTTATCTCACTGTTGTGTAAAGTCAGTCAACACGCGAATGTAGTAGGTACGATTTAAGCATGGCGTTTTATTATGATGAGCTCACGACTTTATTCATAATCATCTGCGTAAATGTCTTTTGGTTCCTAGTGTATCTCATGCTTTGAAACAATCAGAACTAAATTTGCAATCAGTGGACTTGCTGTAAAATATGGATTTTCTGATCTTCCACTTAGCATGGCAGCTTGGGTGATCAGTTTTCGCTTTGTCTGTGTAAAGCGAGCAAATCGATGATACAATTATGAAACCACGATTTTCGATTATGAGGTTTTTGATTCCGTCTCAACAGCATATCGACCGACGGTGTAGGTAAGTCGGCAATCACATATCTAGTTCGCGGTGTCTGAAAATTTCTGCCTCTATGTTATTTTTTTAAAGGAGACCAAACTGACATAGTTTTTTGAAGTTTTTGCAGAATTTTCTTCGCATGAAATGTTGATGAAGACATCGGCGCTGAACATTAAACGTATTATCCTATCCAACCCCATGTCCATTTTTGGCCTTGCTAAACTGCAAGTACCCACAATGCATCGCTCCTCTGACGTAACGGCGTATCTGTATTTCCACATGAGCCTTGGAAAGCATGAAGTTATATGGACAACAGGGCTCAAGTGGACATTGAGATACGCCCTTACGCCAGAAGGACGACTATTTGGGAGCATGATACAGGGCTTCATCAGCAATCCGGCATCTTCAATCCACAGAAAAGCAAGTTACTTAGTGTTAAGCCCTTTTCCTAGCTAACACTACCTAATAATCTCGCGAAGCTGCGCAAACCGAAACGCTTAAATAAAATCAATGCGCGATCAGATCCTTTTAGAGCATTACGAGTTTAGCGTGAATCCGCCACTGAAATCTCTTCTTCAAAGAGTGTGCTGCTGCCTTAATTCCTTCATCAATTAAGACTAGAATATGTTTGAACTTGCAGGGCTTAAATGGGAGGGCAGGATAATCGGTGTAAAGCTTTTCATCTCTGCAAGTTTTGACGTCGGTGCTGTCATATCAGTAGCTTTTGAATGATAGAAATAGAAATACACCAAAATTTATGTCACACCAAAAGATTTAAAAGAAATAATCTGACAATTAGACATTGATCACGAAGTTTATTGATTTTTTTTATTCAGTTCTATAGTTTACTTACAGGTAAGTATCGAGTGAATATTAATTGGATTGCATTTTGCAAAAAGGAACCACTAGCATTGCAATTTAATGATGCTGAGATTGTGCAACTTCATCTTTTGCAATAAAATTGCAGAAATTGTGAAAAACTATGAAATTTAGATGCAATTATATAGACTTAAAACTTTTTTTGGCAAAACCGATTACTTACTTATTTACTATTCAAAGGTAAACTAAGGTACTATTCAAAGGTGGTTGTGTGTAGTGCCGATAAAATTTTACAAGTGCAATATGCAACAATATAGTGAAATTTAGATGGTAATTTTTGTCTTAAATTTACAGTTTTTAGCGAGTAAAATAGAAACTTTTAAGGGATAATCGGGTTTTTCCTCCCAAGACAAAAGAAGTTGCACAATCTTAGCAACATTGCAATGCTAAAGGGTTCCTTTTTGCAAAATGCAATCCAATTCACTTACCGTTTTTTTGAGCGATCAAATCCCATCCTGTCATTTTAAGTCGCATTTCGTCATTTTTTTTTCGCTTTGGATGTTTTTAATCCCTAAATACGAGAAAGTTAGTCGATTATTATTACATTAGCTGTTGAATTATTCGATTTAATTGAATTAGTTGATTTTATTCTAATAATTGTCAAATTGATTAATTTCGCCTCAGTGCAGTAGAAATTTAGTAAATAACCCGCTATCACAAAAACTCAGTGTCTCGATACTGAATTGCTGGTCTTCAATTCAGCTCTTTTCCGAAGCATCCAGCATTTTTTAGAGCGGTAGGAAAAATTACCTCGGTTATTCAGTTTCCTACCGGCAGATCATCCGATTTCCATATCCCCTCAGTGGCGAAGCGCGAACGATCGACTATCGACATTACCTCATTTGAAGCTTTGGTAACGAATCGATCATTGTGTTCGTTGCAAACACTCTGTACATTGATCCTTTTTCATCGGTTTAAATGACAGATTAATCGATGTATCGCAAAGCACGCCACGCTACACGCTACTCATCCCCCTGCTGTTGCCAACGAGAGACACAAAGAGGTAGCGGGTGTATGATGGTATTTCGCATTAATGCGCGTTGCCTTGGGCTGAATATATTACCAGTCGCAGTGGTTGAAATGGAGGTATTTCTGCCAAACGGAACTATGTGAATTAAGACATGAGCCCTGAGACCCATAAGAATATATGCATGACAGGGCTCACGTCATAATGCACATAGTTCCGTCTGGCAGACATACGTCCAAATATTATGAACTTTTATGAACAAGTACAATCCGAGTAAGCTAAATTTGATGGTTCATGAATATTTATCTCATTCCTGATTTGATCATCACTCACTTGAAATTACCATCACTCATCATTACAACTTGAAATTGAGCTGAAATAACGCTCCTGCGTTAATACTCGCTTTCTAACCTCGCCTGATAGTCCATTATACAGAAGAACAAATCCGCAACAACTTGTCCTTAATTCTTTTGCGTTGTTGTCACGCTCCAACTTTCATTCTTCTTAACAACCAAGCCCCGAATGAGACGCGTAAGGATTTGCGACCACTACCGCGCAACAGTGCTCGATCGGCGATTCCGTGATAGCGCGGAGCCCCATAAATTACGAAATAGTTCAAGCGATCAGTGGCGTGGCGTGCTTTGCGATATATCGACTGTTATGTCATTTAAACCTATGGAAAAGGATCGATAATCAGGGTGTTCGCAGCGAACACCTCGGTAATCGATTCTTTACCGTAGGTTTAAATGGTAGAACAGCGATATATCGCAAAGCACGCCACGCCACTGCAAGCGATCGTCCGGAACGTTGAGCGGAGTCGTCTGGATTCCGGGTTCCGAGTTCCGGAAAAGTTACTGTGGAATCCGGCCGAGTCGCGTCTTACAACTTTTTATCAGTCTCCCGCGATTTGTCTTGATTCGGAGCCCCCCTCAAGGGACCTCCGGAGAACCAGGTCCTAAACTCCTCCCAGACCAGACCACGGGCCGTATTTTTAGTCGTTCCTTAAACAGCTAGTTTCCTCGTGGGGCTCCAAATGGTTTAATCACGATTAAGCACTGGAAAAGAAACATATTGTATCTAGATTCCAGACTCTTAAAAACATCGACAAGAAAAAATACTCTTGATTCAATCGGATTTTTGCGTAAATCAAGAACCAAGCCTCTTCATTTGAGCGGATTTCCTTTTGATTTAAGTTTAAATCGAATTGAATCGAGATTATTTTTTCTTGTCAATGTTTTCAAGAGTCTGGACTCTGGATCCAATGTGTTTTTTTTCCAGTGAGGGAAGATTTTGGAGATCGTTTAAGTATAGCGTTGTAAAAAAGGACACTTTTATTGAACCTCCGGTATTTTTTTTTTCTCTCTCTCTACTTCAAGTAACCCACAAGGGCTAATCCTGCACTTCAGTCTCGTCCCCCCTCCATCCCTAACAACCAGTCCCAGGCAACCATAGCTTGAGACCACAAAAGAAAAGAGGAAGAAATTCTAAAGAATAAGTTTGGAAATAGATCTTTGCAAGGGTTCACAATAATTTACATGTGCAAAGAAATAACGTTTCCTTACTTGCCTAAAATTTGGGACGTAGCCCACATCTCAGGAGGAAAACGTTATAATGGATTTAAAAAATCAATGAAATTCTCGGAGCATTGACAATGTTTCGTCAAACATCAGTAACAGTTAACTTCATATGCATAAGAGGCAAGGCTGGAATCAAGTTACGGTTTAAGACAAACAAGCTAATCGTCCTCAATTAGTATCGCATACGACAGATACTAAACGAATTTCATTTTAAATTTTGGATGCAACTATTCGGGCATCATGAATGATCGTGTTGCATACGCACCGGAGTGAAGGCGTTTTGACTCTCCAGGCACTCACTGTTTCACCCGTGGCGATGGGCTTCACCGCTGGGAACAGAAAGGAAGAGGCGCTTTCAATTTTTCGTTTTTACTACAAAACAATCTCTGAAGCACAAATAGTTGCAAATAAGCGGAGGATATGAGTAGGTATCTTTTGTGCTTAGATTCAATATCACGATGTGCTGAGCATAATTTTTAGAGCGATTATTCATGCTCAAGAGGTGACTTTGTAGTATGAAGGAGGAAGTGAAGGCGCTTTGTCAATTAGGATTTTCGCATAATAGCCCGTCGTCGGAGTCGCGCTTCGCGTGAAGCCATGTGTGCTTGGAAAGATAAAACGCCTTCACATCTGTGCGTATGCAACATGGACATCCATGGAGTTCAAATAGTTGCATCGAGACGTCATAATGAAATTCGTTTAGTATTTTCGTACGGGATACTAACTGAGGGCGCTTACTTTTAATCGCATCCTTGCTTAGTGTGTCGATGAAGTCATTTATCACTGAATTTTATCGCGACATCGTTAATTTTTCCGAGAATTGTATTGATTGGGTCAATGCTTAGCAATGTTGCTAACCTTTAAAATAGCAGAAATGGAGGTATTTGAGCAGGATTCATAGAGTTTCCTTCAACCTACTGTAATGAGCTGTCCTTTGGTTGGATTCTGTTTGTATTTTTCCTTTGCCGGGTTTTCCCCGGGAGTCGAAGCTGGCCTCAGCGATCTGGTGCGGTGCGTCACTGCGTGGCGCCACAGGTACGTCGCTGCGTGGCGCCGCAGGTACGTCGCTGCGTGGCGCCGCAGGTACGTCGCTGCGTGGCGCCGCAGGTACGTCGCTGCGTCGCATCGCGCTTCATTGTGCGTCGAGAGAACGCTCGGCGCATTGACATTATTCTGCCGTGCCAATGAAAAACTCGTATGAACATCCGGATGTTGCCGAATTTTCCTTCATAAAACACTTATTTTTTGAGAAATTTATGAATATTTTCTCTTGTAATTTTCAGATACTGCACTGAAAAAATAATATGCTGTTTTAGCATCTAGGATGTCAAAAATGTGTCTGGTAATCCTAAGATGCTGCCTTTACTACCCCCGTTGTTAACTGTACATCCTGTGAATGCAAATTCAAATGCGTGGGCAATCAGAACAGCATCTTAGGATCACCAGACACATTTTTGACATTCTAGGTGTTGAAACAGCGTACCAATTTTTTCTGGGTCTAGATTAAATTGCAAATTAAATTATCCGATGAATTTGTAGAAAAAGATTCGAAAGTTTTCTTGAAACTTCATATTTTATCAAACGTCTGAATTTTTATACATCTCCCTCAGCACGGCAGTATTGACCCATGATGAGGGTGTCGCTACTGCATAGTACTTCACATTCTAATTTACCAAGGGACAGAGTATACTTGTGACGTTCAAGTGTCGAATTTTTAAATAACAATCCTGATAAATCTCACAGAGTTTTAAACACAAAAGTGATGATCATCCTACTCTCGAAAAAATGAAATGCAACTATAAATGAAATCTGCAATATCACACGCTTGCATACACGTATATAATTTCCTAGTTTCAATGGCAAAACTGCAGCACCTTAAAATCTGATAAATATGTTTATGAAATGTTTATGAAATTTACTTTATCGTTAAACGCCCCTTTGAGAGTAAATTTTTTACTATGCGTCAAAAGTATTTTAAAAGGCCAACTTAGTAATATGGTTTCTCTGAAGAGTTGAGGTATGAGCTATTTCATTTTTAGATATAGCACCAAGGGTAAGAAGAAGAAGAAGAAGAAGAAGAAGAAAAAAAAGAGGAGGAGGAAGGAGGAGAAGAAAAGAAGAAGAGGAATGAGGAGGAGAAGAAAAAGAAGAAGAAGAAGAATAAGAAGAAGAAGAAGAAGAAGAAGAAGAAGAAGAAGAAGGAAAACAAGGACATGCTTTCATCGTAATTTAATCGGGAATTGGAGAAATTATCATCAGTCGCTCCGATTGTCACGATTGATTCAATCTTGGCAATAGGAAACAAATTGAAACAAAGGACTCGGGGAAGTATGCCTAGTAACAGAATCGAAGCGGTGAAGCGATGAAGAAGGCGCCCGCTGGTGGGTGGTGTGTAGGAGCAACAAGTGACACGGACTTGACGAATAGAGGATTGCTAATTGGTCGTCATGGCAACCTCCAACTTGCTTCAATGCTCCACTACTCCCCCGAGTCACCTCTGGAACTTGTAAATCTTGCACGGTGATTTATGGGTTGCAACGCGAGCTATTCTGCCGTGCTAGGGAACAACACCGTAAGAGCCTTTAGGCGTTGCCAAATTTCCCCAGGCAAATCAATAATCCTCAGGAAATTTTTTGAATCTTTGTCTACCAAATTCGCAGTTAATTTTGTTTGTAATTTGATCTTAAACGTCTGAAAATTTCAAGGAAAAATATTCAGGATTTTCCTAAAAAATTAACATTTATCGAAGGAAATTTGGCAACTCTCGAATGTTCATACGGCGTTCTTCCTTAGCGCAGCCCCAGTATTCTCCACTTTTTCGGGTATCAATACCTCCCTCAAAACTTTGTTGTGCAGACTCGGTGGGTGTGTTAAGAAACAAGGAGTGTCACAGTTATGTGATATAGCCTTGGAGCTTTCAGGATTGGCGTGGGGATGAGCCCCCCCCCCCTCCCCCCATTCTACTTCGTCATCTTCAGACTCTAGATAATGTGCGAGAAACTTTTAGTGCTTGACGAATCTTTCATGTTTTGATACTGTATTTCGATCAAATTTCCTGTAAGAATTGCTCAAAATTCGGGCTGTGTCACCTTAATTTGACACAAATTTCTAGAGAAGTCCTTCAGACCTCCCTTTGAGGCTGGGAGAACAGCTCGAATTTGTTAAATCTTTATCAAATCACCTTGATCGACGAATTCCGATCTTAAAACTATTTATCGATCAAGGTAGATCATACAGTCAATGAAAATGCCAAAACCTAGGCGCTAGTAATTTTACCGGTTTTTTTTCTTCTTCTTAGAAGACAGTGGGAAGAATAGTATTGCATGTGGCAAATATTGGGTAAGCCCTCAAGTTGTGCCATCCATTAGCTTGATAAAAAATCTAAAATCACATAGCCTATTTCAAGGTATTCTCCCTCTCCCACTATGCCTCTTTTGTGCCATATTTGACTTAAAAAAGAGAATTAGTGCCAGCGGTAGAGTATAGGAAAAGATAGAAAGTGAGCCAGAGAAGGTACTATTTGACTGCAAAAACATATTTGAAATGAAAAAGCAATAAATAAAAAAAAAGTTTGGTGCATGACAGATACGTATACGGAAACGACCTCAGCTGCGATAACGATTCAAAAATTTCAGCTCCCTGGTAATTTATTACTCGGCAGAGCGAGAGTAAGAAGGGCAATAATCAACCTCTTCATTGCAGAGCTGATTCACCACAATGGCGTGTGCGACAGAATGATAGAAATTCAAGCACATTGGAGTTTTATACAGCATCTTTCCCAAGGATATAAAACTCGTGCTTTCACCTTGCTCAACATATCATATGGAGCGCCTTTAAACACTGCTTCACATCGCGAGACATCCAAGTTTGATAAATGGAAGGAGCTGATGACACTGAGTCTAGTTTTCCCTTGCCATACAGTGAACCCGTCATGTGAAAAAGAGAGAATTCGCGTAGCGCTGTAGTTGGAATGGACATTCAATGGAATCCTCTAATTTCAATTTTCAATGTGCATTGTTGGCGAAAAAATTGATGCGACTTGTTATTCTGAAGCTGAATTCTAGCATTAGTTCATGTGAGGGAAAGAAAAAAGGAAATGAATTCACTTGCGGAAATTGCAAATAGGTAAACACACATTCGGAAGGAAAATAAACGAATAGGGTTGCGAGTGATGCGACCAGCAACATTTTAATAATTCTCTTTTTTCATCTTTTGACTTGGTCGATTGAAAACTTCTTGTTACTTTTCGTTTTGAACATGACTGGTTAGTGTTATAGTTCTTAACTCACATTTTTTTTCTCAGCATCTTTGAAAACGAGGTTACACATTTTCTTGCAAAATTCTTTATTCTTTATGGGAATACACATTCTTATAGATCTAAAATGTTAAAATAGCGTGATCAAGGCCAAAAAATAAGATTATGTAAACACGAGTAGAAAATGGAAAATTATTAGCTACCTTCTATTTGATCTCATTCGATGTGATTACTCGTTGTAGCAGAGAGAATCCACAAAGAAAAAGCTATGGCTGGAAGTAAAATTAAAGTAAAATAGATCTTGAACAAACGTACAAGTGACGGAAATTATTATTAAGGGTAAAAAGAGGCGAGAAAAATCTTGATGAGGTTTGGATTAGAAGGCCGCATTTTTGTAGATTTGAGCTTTGAATCCTATAGGATCTGAAAATCTGTTTCCATATACTGCCGTAAGGGAAAACGCCGGAATCGAGAGTTGTCAAATTTTCTTCGATAGAATGTTTATTTTGAAAGGAAGTCATGCATATACTTCCTTGAATTGTTCTGTTATTTTAGATTAATCTGCGGACAATATTGTCCGAAAAATTGGAATATAGGTATTCATAACTTTTCCAATAATACGTATTTTTTCAAAGGAAACTTGGTAATGTCCGATGGCTCATACGGCGTTCTTCCTTATTACGGCAGTGTACGGAAACAGGTTTCCGAATATATATCCGAATAATTCTACAGTGCGGAGGAGAGTCAAGCGAGTCAGTTAGAACTGGGAGGAGACGTTTCAGACGAATTAGATGACGGCTCTTTGAAAAATGGGATGAAAAATTGCCGTCGTGGATCTTTTTCTGTCAAACGGTTCTTGATGAGGCATTCGGCCCCGAAGCGCTGTAACTCTCATCAACGCATACGCTCGTTTTACGTTTCAAATCTCCCGTCGGCTGTCAGACGCAATATTTTATGTGGCAAGATCGTGTCGCATTACGGCGGAAAATAAGGGAGGGTGTATGAAGGGATGGAGAAAATGAGGCAATTTGGAGGGGAAAAATCGACTTGCGTCTGAAAAAATCAACCAGGCAC